TGTACAAAGTATGAATCCAGGAAAACTTTAAGTTGTCAAATATGAAATGAAAAAGCATAAAGATGGATATCCTAAGCAGTAATGAGCTAAAATGACTGATATGGGCCATTTTGAGTCTAACGGTCATGGGGTTTACTATAAGGAGAAAACTAATCAAGAAGAACATCTCAAGATTTTATCTTGAAGTACGATGCTGTCTGTGATGTGATAATGCCTAGATGCCTAGAGGAAATCCAGTTTATAAACTGTTATTCAAACTTACACAACAATCCCCAAAGCTCGTATGAGGAAATTGAAGACTTCTACCAACGACTTCCCCCTCCCATTGATCAAAGACGCAATCAAGATGCACTGAAAATCACTGGCTATTGGGATGTAAAAGTTGGAAACAAAGAGAAAAGATCTGTGGTTGGAAAATAGGGCCTTGGATAGAAAAATGAAGCTGGAAATTCCATGATAGAATTTGACAAGATCAATGACGCCTTCAATGCACTTCCTTTTCAGCAACGTAAATAGCAACTCTACACATGGACCTCACCAGATGAAATACACAGGAATCGTATTGACCGCATCTGTGAGGAAAGATGATGGAGAAGTTCAGTATCATCAGCCCAAACAAGGCCAGGCGCCGATTGTAGCAAACACTATGGATTGCTCATGTGAACGTTCAAATTGAGGTTGAAGAAACATTAAATAAGTCCATGAAGAGACAACCGTGAGTATATCCCACCTGAGTTTAGAGAACATCTCAACACATTTGTAGCCCTGGACACTACCGGCCAAAGACCTGATGAGTTAGGAGATGACACCAAGCACATGCAAAAGGAAGAACACAACGGTTATTAAGCAGACCATTGGGAAAAGGAAAAGCTCAGAGGATGTCAGAAGACACTCTGGAACTTGCTCTGGAATGTGGAGCCGCTGAAGAATGCAGCCTAGCTCCAGCCAATGGAAGACACAATGAAGGAAAACAGCCGAGCAGACATTTTCAAAGGACAGTTTGAGAAAAGGGTGTAGGGTACGATGGGGAGATGTGTAAAAGCCCGGAGACAGAAAGCCACAAAGGAAAACACACTCAGCATGCCTGCAGCTGAAAGCATGGGAGAAAAGTGTCAAGCCCTGAGCTGCACTATTGAAGGATTCTATGGGCAACATCGTGAGTGATGCAGAAAGCATCAAAAGACGATGATGGGAATGTACAGAGTCAAACAGCAACCAAAGAAAGCAACTCACTGCCATCGAGTTGATTCTGATCCATAGCTACCTTCGAGGACAAGGTAGCGCTACCCCTGAGGGTTTCTAAGGCTGTAACTTTACAGAAGTAGAAAGCCTCGTCTTTCTCTCATCTCGTGTCACTGTACCAAAAAATGATTGTTCGATATTCAACCATTTTAAGAGGTAACATAAAATCAATAAACAATGATACTAAAGGGAGCCGTCTAAGCCTCACTGAAAACATTAGCCAAAACTAAGGCCCCAGGAATTGACAGAATACCAATTAGATCGTTTCAACAAGGTGATGAAGGACTAGAAGAGATTTCTATTTACGCCCATTCCAGTGAGCGATGATCCAACGATATGCGGAAATGATTGAGCAATGCCTTTAAAGATCACATCGAAGTAGAATTTTGCTGCAGGTAATGGAAAAATTGCCATAGCACTGCCTTGACAAGGAGCTGCCAGAAATTCAAGCTGGCTTCAGAAGAGGATGAGGAACGAGGGACGTCATTGCTGACGTCAGGTGGCTTGTCGCTGAAAGCACAGGATGCCAGAAAGATGTTGATTTGGGTTTTTAGCGCGATAAAGGCATTGGACTGTGCGGATTCTAGCAAACTATGGATAACGGTCATTCCAGAACACTTTCTTGTGCTCAGGCAGGGCCCGTACGATGATCAAGGGACAAGTGTTCAGCTATAACAAGGGAATCAAGAAAGGCATTCAACAGGCTTGCATTGCTCGACTTATCCAGTGTGTGCATTGAGCAAATCCTCCAAGCAGCTGGGCTATAAGAAGAAGAACGTGGGCGGCCCTGCGATTAGCAAGCTGCAGTACGCAGATGACACACCTTGTTTGCTGAAAGTCAAGGGAACTCAAAGCACTGGCTAAGGCAAAGCCACGACTGCAGCCTTCCTGCGTTTTATGAGCATTCCCTGTAAAGAGCTTCACAACCAGCAGCATCACGATCAACAGAAAAGATAGATGTTCTGAAGGACTTCCTTCCTTTGACCTGGGTTCGCCCTCAGGGCCCAGGGATGCAGCAGTCGTGAAACCAAATGACCTACGGCACCAGGCAAAGCTCCTGCCAAAGAGCTCTTGAAAGTGTTCAAACACAAATGGGTCGCTTTGAGGCCTAATACGGGCCTGACCCCGGCCGTGGCATCTCAAGGCCCTCCTCTTCCCCACCTTTGTCCACCTCAAGAGCTGGGCCGTGAATCAGGAAGACCAACGGAGAACTGATGCTTTTGAATTGAGGTGTTGGGGAGGAATATTAAATAGGCCAGGGACAGCCAGAGGACGGGACGTGTTTCTGTCTTGCGAGGCGTACCACCAGCATGTTCCTGAGAAACCAGGGTCGGAGGCTTTATCTCACATGCTCTGGGCCTGTTATCAGGAGGGATCCGTCCTTGAAGGATGCCGTGCTTGGTGAAGTAGAGACTCAACCCAAACAAGAGGAAGTCCTTTCACAAAGTGGACTGACGCAGTGGCTCAGGCGTTGCAAAGATTGTGAGCTGGCCCAGGACCAGACAGTGGTTTGATCTACCATCCAGACCGGTGCCGTGAGTCAGAACCCTGGACAGTGCCTAACAACCACAACACGGGACTTCCGGTGGAGCTCCAGTCTGTCCTGGTGGAAGTGGGAGAGATCTTAACATCATTCTTTTGGTCATGGGTTATCAAGAGCTCTATAAATGCCAGCTTTGTCTTTGAGGGTTGGAAATGTTACATCTGAGAGAGATAATAGCAGCAAATCATGTGCTGCAACGGTGCATGAAGTATATATTTACACACACACACACACACACACACACACACACATATGCACGCACCCCTACCATCAAGTTGGTTCCAACTCACAGTGTCTCAATTAGGGTTTCTGAGGCTGTCAATCTCTATGAGCGCGGATAGGCTTGTTGGCGCTCAGTAATACCTATCACTAATGATTCAGCATCACAACAGAGACAAAGGGTGCTTGCAAGTGTGGTTCACTGTAGCTCGATGTCCAGAGCCAGTGTCATCCCTAAAATACACAATGGGTCACAACCGCCAGCATTCGGGACTGTGGCTCAGGGGGGGACGCGCTCCATCGCTAAGGAGCAGGTCAGCGGCTCCTCTGGAGGGAGATGGGGCTCCCTGCTCCCTGAGCATCGCGTCCCTGTACACCCTGTGGGCCAGCTCCACTCTGCCCCGTGAGGAGGCATTGACCCAGTGGAGATGGATTTTTTTCTTTTGTTGCTTAAATGTCAGATGTAAAGTGTTATTGGAATTGGCGGGGCTGGGGGTGGGTGGGATCATAACAGAAGTCAAATGATAGAATCCAGAGTTTCTGAAGCCATGGAGGTTTATGAACCCTGGAAACTATTGCCCTGAGGATCATCTTTAGCCCCTAAACAAAGGTTATCCCCCCCAAGTCTTCTTAAAACCGAGCAATGTGAAAAACAAACAAAAATCCCTAACCCACTCCCATCCATCAATTCAGACTCCCGGCGATCCTACAGGACAGGCCAGAGCAGGCCGTCCCTCGGGGTTCCTGGGATGGTCGGTGTTTACAGGAGCGGACAGCCTCCTGGTTCTCCCGAGGAGCTGTCGGGAGGGAGAGAGGTCGGGAAGGACCGGTGACCTAGTCACCAGGGCTCTCTGTAACAACAATTAAAAACAGCAAATGCTGCTCTTGATGAGCTAGAAAGTGCCGAATGATGTGGTTGGCGGGAAAGTGGGTGCGCACGCCGTGGAAACTGGCAGAAACGTCTCAGCCCTGGCATGTCCTGAAACCCACATCCGTAGACACTGACAAGGCCGCAACGCGGATTGCTTTCAGATCTCTGTGGAGTAACGCTGTGCGCGGGACAGCTGAACAGTCAGAGAGCAACTGCTCGTTCACAAAGCAGCAGCCCAAATTCAAAGTTACGAGTACAGGTTTTTATTCCCCGTTGCAGGAAAGCACCAACATTGTCGGCTGACAGTTCCTGCTGTGGACGCCAGGCAACCGCAGAGAACACAGTGCTGCTAGCTCCATCCCCAAAGTGGCGGTAGGGGTGGGGGTGGAGGGAAGGAGGGGGGGTAGGGG